TCAACTTGTCCAAACCCCCCCGGGGGGGGGGGGGGGGACCCATGATCCACTAAAAATCCTTTTTAACACCAAAGGGCATCAGATAGTCTAATAATCCACGTGTTTCACTGTAGTTAGACGATCAGTTCAAGAGGTATTCCACCATTACAAAGTGCACGTAATCCATCAGTCATTTAAAAGACTAAAGATTCTCTGTAAAAAGTGACAGAACCCCTTGGAAACTGCCTTACTCTTCCTTTAAAGAAGCGTAAATGCAACCTGACATGCAGAGGGCACAAATAATTTAAAGACTCACTATGTACAGCACCCACGGTGCACCGATTACACATACAATGCACAGTTTAGATACACAAAGCTGATGCAATGTGGGTCCTAATCTCATTACATTCAGGTGCCAATGCTGCGCTCCTGTAACGTTACCAGTACACAAGGAGTCAGGGGAAGTAGATGTACAGCGCTCCAAAGTACAGAGACAAAGTCAAATTTAAGGCTAACTTGTTCACAGAGAGAAACTTGAATTGAGAGAGACTTGAAGTTTTCACCAGACAACTTATACAATTAAAAATATATATATAAAAATCAGAGTGAATACGGATGGCTTTACACTTTCCTGGAGCCATCGCTCTCCTGTATTAAAATACATCAAGGCTGACAGCCTGCTCAGCGAGGCATAATGCACAAAACATAAATAACGGTCTGCTCCCAAACGCTAAAGAAACTTTTTTTTTAAATGAAAAAATAAACATGAGTCGTTTTTAAAAGCACCCCACTGACAAGCACCATCCGAAGCCTGGCAGCAGCAGGATGGGTGTAAAACAGTAAAACAGCTTGCTCGGTGGACCCGCCCCTTCTCTGTCGACTCACCCCTAACCCGCGCTGCTTCATCAGTCAGGCAAGGGGGGGGAAAGAGAGAGAGATCCCTCCCCCAAAACGGTTTGAATGCACACAAAACCAACCGAAGAAATAAGCGGTGCAATGAAAGGCCTGCCCAGAGCAGTTTTCCCTTTTGTAAAACCCAAATAATAAAAATAAAAAACCCAAATAAAAAAACCCTTTCATTTCTACTCAGAACTTTGACCGTCTCGCCCCCACCCGGTGCCTGATGAAGGGGGTTTGTACCTCAAATGCCTACCGTTAAAAAATTATTATTATTATTATTATTATTTTTGCAAAAAATAATCTCGTGGGTCTAATAAAAGAAACTGCACCTCTCCCACGAGTCCCGACATTGCCGTGTTACTACGGAGAAACGCAGAGGCAGTTTGTGTCCGGGACGAGTCTGCCTGAAGCGGGGGGAGGCCCGAGGCCGGGCCCCGGGCTCACCTCGTCCACGGCGCGGCGGGGCAGGTGCAGCATCCCCAGCAGCAGCTTGAGCTTGACGGGCGACGAGAGGCCGTGGAAGCAGAGGCGGATGTTGTCGATGACCGAGGCCGTGAGCAGCGAGGCGATGCTGGGGGGCGCCCACAGCTCGTCCGTGGAGCCCAGCTTGTTGTGCAGCCACAGGCCGGTGTCGCTCTCCCGCATCGACGCCATCTTGGGAGCGGGCCGAAAAAAGAGGGGGTTTTGCACGGGCATTTTATGAAGACACCTCAGCGGAGGCAAGAAGGGGCGGACGGGGGCGAGGACCCGCGCTTTTCGTCACCCAAAATGGCTGCGCGCAGGCCAAGCGGAGGGCGGGATGTGGGAGGGG